CTCTTTTGTTCAGTGTATTGTAGCTTGCATTCAGCTCCTGTTTTTGTTGCTCGTCAGTGCACTGGATAATCTTTTGCTTCACTGTCCTTCTCTCTTCTATTAGTTTCCAAGTGTCCGTAGTGAGCCACTGTTTGTCCTGTCTCTTTTTTCTGCCTAGAATTTCTATGCAGGTTTGGCTCCACACCGTTTTCAAGTTGTTCCAGTGCTTTTCGACGCTGACCTTTTCGCTGGTGTTGATTTGTGTCTCGGCTTTGTCCTTTATGCTTGCAATGAAGATGTCCTTTGTAGCCTGGTCCTTCAGCTTTTGAGTGTTGAACTTGGCTTGTGGTCTATCTGCAGCTCCTGATTCCCTGAAAGCTTTTAATTTGATTTGGATTGTCCCTTGTACGAGATAGTGGTCTGAGCCAACGTCTGCTCCTCTTCTTGCTTTTGTGTCCAGTAGGCTGCGCCTCCACTTCCTTGAGATTGAGATGAAGTCGATTTGGTTTTTGGTTTGCCCGTCTGGTGACACCCATGTAGCCTTGTGGATATCTTTGTGCTTGTATACACTGCCACCAATCACCAGTTCGTTGAAGGCGCAGAAGTCGGCGAAGAGTTCTCCGTTTTCATTCATTTCTCCTAGAGCTTCTCTACCCATGATGAGTTCCCTTCCTGTATTGTCTGGTCCCAGTTTGGCGTTCATGTCTCCCATTAGTATTTTCATGTCGCCAGCTGGAGTATTGTCCATTGTTGCCTGTAGTTGCCTGTAGAATTCTTCTTTCTTTTCGAGGTCTGCGTTGTTTGTGGGTGCATAACATTGTATGATTGACACTTTCCTTCCTTTGGAGTTGAACCTGGCGGTCATTATCCTGGACGAAATCGCCTCCCATTGTATCAGGGCTTTCGTTGCCGTTGGTGACATCATGATAGCCACGCCCTCGGTGTGCGTGTGGTTATCTTCTGGGTGACCGGAGTAGATCACTGACTCACCTGTTGACAATTTGGTGAGTCCACTCCCATTCCATCTGCTTTCACATATTCCCAGTACTTGGATTCCGTATCTTTTCATCTCGTTTGCGATCTGAGCAGCTTTGCCGGTCTCGTACATAGTGCGGACGTTATGCAGTCATGTCAGTACATTGATATGTTTATGCTCAACCAGTTGTGCTCAGAGTGTTATCCAGTTACAAATACTATATCACTGTTTGTTACTTCAAATAAACTCATCTCATATAGGATTATACTCTACCACAGTGTTCAAATTCCACCCTCACATCTATGTCGGTTTTCTTCGAGTGAAGACAGAGGTCGATCATTTAATTGCCAACCCCAAAGACAATATTTAAATTAATGTAACTCATCGAAAACCCAATAAATTAACTTATGCTTCAACCAACTAGTTGGGAAAGAAAGCAGGAAGGAAATAGACAATCAGTGATCAATTGAATGACACAGATCACTTCAGCATACTTCCTTGCTAATTAATTACCTGCGAAATAATGAATAATGATTAAAATAGCATTTCTGTCCACTGCCAGATCATGAACATTAGTAAAATAAAAAATGAAGTGCATATGCACTCAGTAGAAAATAAATTACTATATCATCCAATACACTGAACATTGAAAATTTATTAAGTAGTGAGTGTCCAACTAAACAAAATCTTTTCTTGTATTAAAGAAGGTCAAATAAGTAAGAACTTGATAATATGTATAACATGAGAATACATTTTTTTCTTTCTCTCTACCTTAGTCTATTGTTTCTTTACAAAATCATTAAGACAAAGATAGTTTACTGTTTGAAAGTTATTCTAAATTTTGTCAGTGATTAATTAGGTACAACAAATATCAGCGAAAATTAATTATTGTGATGATGCACGCAAACAGTGGCATCTCCTCTTTTCAATAGAATGTTTCCTATGTTTATTCTAGTGGTAAACATATCATATCTTCAATGGATCGTGTTGTTACATGCAAGTAGAACAGTGAGCCTCTTTTTTATGCATTTGAAAAGTGATGATAGTTAATTACAAATGTCAAACAGAAAAATCACGAATAACTTTAAAAGTATGCAGATAGAAATGAATAATGATACTATCCTCTGGCGTACAAGAAAAATATCTAGTGGATTCAGCAAATCGAAGTGAAGCTGGATTTTATGATAGTGGTGATTGTAGTTGACTACCCACTCTGTGCCCTGTTTCAACTAGACGTCGACCAGTGGTGGTGGTAAAGGAGCGGGGATTTCCGATTTTCAGGGTATTAGAATATTTTCGGAGAAGTGAATGGATGCGCCAACCTTTCCACCCTTCTAGTCAACTTTCTCTGGCACATAAGTGTGAATTTGTAAACAAGGCTTCAGGTAAATTCAGACTGGTACTTGTTCAGTTTTGACCGATTGACTGTGCAGCTAGTGCTATAAAAACGAATGAGTTTAGCTGCCGGATAAATTGTTGTAAGGGTAACTCTTACTCTGTCGTCTAACCGTCATCTCCTTTCAAGGTGAACCAGGTGAATTTGGCTTCTTCTCGACTCTAACAAAGTTTTTTTCATAAATGTAATTTTTTTCTGAATTATCTTATCAGCGATTTAGAAAAACATTCTCAGAGAATCGTTTTCTAAGGAAGTTCATCTCTCTGTGAAATCTGTCTTCAGAGGAAGGTTCACGCGGTACGCCAAACAGTGTACTGACCAAATTTCATTTGTATTTTATTAGAAAGAAAGTGGAATAGTCTTAATGCTGTTTGGTCTAGGTATTTTTGTAGTATATTCCTCTTTCGACTATTCCATTAACTCCTCTTATCATGGGTAGATCAAGGATGTGAAATCGATTTTCGCGTTTATATGTATCTAAAAACATTGTCCCATAGCCTCAATAGTTTGCAGGTATGGTTCATGTTCTTTTGGATCATGAAAGTTTCGCCCACATATCCTGCATAAAAACTAGTTCCTTCACTTGTAGATTGCAATTCATTTCTTTTCAGGTTTCACCTGAACATTTCAGCAAGAATAGATCCCAAAGAACTTGACACGACTCCTCCATCAATCTGGCTATGAAGCTCATTATTAGAACGAAAATGTAAATTTGTTTTGTTACAGGATTTCACCATGATCTGACATTTGTTAGAGAACCATTGGAAAACCTAGGAGTGCTGGACAGCTGTTTCGTCCTAGTTTGGGACTCTTCAGCAATACACACCCACCGGGATTCGAACCCAGGACCTTCTGGTTACAAGGCGAACTCGTAGACCATTAAGCCACTGAGACCCGATCCAATTTCCAGCCGATGAATTCTAACTTCTGTTAATTCACGATATAGCGCGACTCGTGGCCAATGTCTTCGGCGAGTATTTGTCCTCACACCCTGATTTCATTCTAAATAAACATTGTACTTTCAAAAGAATATGGTTGGATAATTATGCAGGTGGGCTGATATGATTGTAAATAATACATTTTGCACAGAATGTAATCATCAATCAAACCAGCCGATTTTATAATTATGCGCTACACTGAAGCCTATTATAGCATTTAGGAAGTGTCATAGATATAAATTAGTTTGTCCTTCTTAATACTCATTACTGTCAAGTAGATTCAAGTCAAAGTAACTAAGTCAATCAGCACGTCTATAAGACTTGAATATCGTAGTAATGTGTAGTTCCATTGTAATTTGTTTACATTGAAACGGTATTATTTATTTGGTGACCTCTTGAACGCAATTTATGGTTCATGAATGTAGAATTTGTGACTACATAAATCTGAAACCTGATTCTTACAGTTTTTGTTCTACCTTCTCATTTACCACAATCGTAGTAGAATTCTCTGGGTTTTCGGGACAGGTATGGAATCAAGCCCACTATACATATTCATATCAATACATTGACCCGATCCCATTAAAGTTTGGAACTGCAATGTTGTCTCAACCTGTTAGTTGGTTGTGCAGTGGTATAGTTGGGCATTTTTCAACATTTCTTATTTTGTTAAAGTTTGTCAGGATGAATTTCGCTATTTTGTTTTGTGTTCCGTTAGTCTGATTACACAAGCCTACTACTTTGATCTACGTACTTGACTTCAAAATTATTGCGGAGTTTTAGGAGACCAAGAACTACAAAAATAAAGTTTCGAATTTCTTTGGTGATAATTCATATGATTGTCAACAACAGATTGTGTTCAAGACGTCATTCAGTAAATAATAATAATGCTTCACTGTATAATATATGTAATAAACCAATAAAAATGAGATGACATGCTTCCATAGTGCCCAAAATCTAACAAAGGTTTATCATTTCATACATTGAAAGATAGAAATTCGAATCACGATATTGATATTCTGAAGACAGAAATATTTTGTCCTAAAATCTGCCCTTATTTTTTTGACATTTATCTCAAAAGCTAATTCACTGTTTATGTTGCCGCACTGGCTAGAATGATTTTGGTTCTTTCATTCATTTCAGCTAATGGGCAGTAGAACTAGGATCTAGAAATAAGCTGACCTTTAAGAACTTCATTCAACTTGCATAAAATCTTCAGTGGTTATGACATGTACCCGCGATGAAGTGTAGAAATTTAGAAGTATTCCCTATTGGTCAAAAACGTGGGTATAATTAATTTAAATTTGTCAAACAGTAAGCAAATATGATGGTTGAAATTTCAAATGAAACAGTCGTTGATTACTATGAAGTTGGTTTCAAGATTTACAGAAACGTCATACGTCAGGCCACCAAATGAAACCCCATTGGGAGGGCGTGTGTCCGTGTGTGGCATGAAGGTGATCATGTAGAGAAGAATCAAAATTTGTGAGCAGTTGTGGAGCCGGTTGAAAGTTGTAATTGAGAAGCGAGTGGAATGAAGATGTGCCATTTAAGTTCTATGTTTTTAATGGAACACAAGAAATATATGATAACTATATGCAATCTTAACTTCGTATTTCTTAAGTGATGACTGAAATTTCTGAAATTATTTTAATTCACATTTACTATAGATTCAAATGTAACTTTCGTTTCATTTTTCAACATTCATATTTAGAATTATCCACATATCATGATCCCTGTCAATCCAACCCGTGTCAAAACAATGCTGATTGTGTAAATATTCATGACTGGAAAGGTAGAACTTCAAAAAATGGATTGAACACACAGTCAGATTATTACTGTGTATGTTTAAAAGGATGGACAGGACAAAATTGTACAGAAGATATTGATGACTGTGTTAAACAACCTTGTTTAAATGGTGGCACTTGTGAAGATAGACCTAATATGCGATTTTATTGCCATTGTCCAGCAGATTATGTTGGTAAGATTAATAATGTTTAATTACGATTTTGAAATCTTCTTTTTTGACCGATTATTTCACTTTCGTTATTGGGTTGTTCATGATAAAGGTTTCATTGAACCTAGTCGTCCATAGTCAGAGAAGGTTATGGCTATGATTGGATGACTTTATCCAATGATCATAGGACTTAAACTTCAACGTTTATATGGTGTAACCACATGTTCTTCTGTAGAATTCTCAAATTCCTGGTGGCTCATTAACCAAGCACGAATTGGTCTATGGGATCTTCAATCTGGCTTACTGAGTGAAGATATCACTTCATAAGTATGTTAAATGAAAACCTTATGCGAAATGATAGTAGTCGAATAGAATGGTAAACGTTGTAACTAAAATAATTACTTCTCACCATTGACTTTGTATTTCACCGATGACCGATGATTTATGATGCAAAAATGTGTATTTTACGTGAATACTTTCATTCATAGATACTAACTCACTCTTGCGGTGACCTGGATACTTTGTTTTTATAATATTATTCTTCTTTCCTTGAGTTTTGAGGGGAGTGCAGGGCTTGAGTACCACATCTTTATTGGACTTTGTTCTCTAAAATCTGTTTCAGCTTGTGTCCGCAAGCTTTAGTTTCCTTCGAACATTAAGTCCTCAGTGTCACCCTGAAATCCACGCTCATCCCGTCACTCCCTATTCGATTACCATTTCAGGGCTATGAATGTGATGTCATTTTAAAAACGTCGATGGCGGACATCCGATCCGCTACTATTTCGGTCTGCAATAGGGTCCTGTTCCTGTCCGATTTTCTTATTGCTTGTCTTTTCTGGCCAGTGATCTGATCTTCATTACCGAGTGAAGGTATGCGTTGATGGAAGTTTTCAGGCTGTTAGACATGCTTTAGCTATTCTACTATATGATAATCACCCCTAAGTTTATTCATATACGGTATTTCTGAAAAAAATTGAGGATTTCGTCTAGGTTTGTTATGAAATGTTTATAAAAGAGAACTTAAATTCTAAAATTAACAAAAGTATAGAAAGACTCCTAAAAACCAAGATATTGACATCTTTCCTATTGAGGCTAAATCTTGATTTGTATCTCACTAACAATGAATTCATTATCCTTAGTATTCTACTTCAGTGTACTGTCGTAAAGTAAAAATAGCATAAAAATGGTATGAAGTAGGTGTTGTTTTCACTTGGAAATCATTAGAGCTTCAAAAATTTTCACCTGATGCAGGAGATTTCCAGCTCATATGGCTGATTCTTGTTTAGTTGTGTTCTGTGAGTTAGTTGGTTTAACTGTGAGGCTTTCGTTGCCCTTCCAGACAACATTTTTATTCACGCAGAATTCAAATAAGTTCACTTCAGAATAAAGCTCGCACTGAACAAGTTGTTCACAAGAACAACGAAGACTTCGCTATTAAACTAACTAACTGAGAAAGCCCAACCAAGCAAGAAGAATCTTTATTTATGTTTTTAGCCTTACAGTTTTCTACTTATATCTGTATAGTTTGAAAGTAGCATCTAAAGCCGACCCAAAACAAACAAACGGCAATTTTAGTATGCAGCATTTTGTTCGTGTTTATTAATAATGATGTAATGTATTCTTTTCCGGCCAAATATATTCCTTGTAGCTTACTGAACTTTTCCCCCAGTCGTTTCGTACTTGTTATTTGATAGATCATGGCTACCAACGTAACCGAATATTAAGCATTTCATACTGTTTAGAGCTGAGCATACCGATGGGCTTATATATACCTGGAACATTCAGTGTCTACTTTAATTAACAGAGCATGACTATTAGTGTTAGTGACATCAAACGATCAATGAAAAAACATATCTCTTTTTGATTGAATGATATGGTCAAGGGAAGCAATTTTCTTCAACTAATCAGTAGATTATGACGATTGTAACGCCCTCTGATCATAAATATTGGTTGGAACTCGATGGAATAGTTATGTGATATACCTTTTAAAAGGGGGTCATCAATGTATTGTTGGAAGTATTAGGTAAAGTACCGCTTGCCTCTGATATACTGCTTCCTGCATATCATGAATAAAGTGAACCAAGAACCCTCAGGTGACGCTAATTTAGCGATGCCAGTTTTATACAAGGCGATGAGGTCAGGATCACTTGGGAGAAACGAGCTGTTAAACCAAGCATATCTTAGCAAGACACAATACTTGCCTTATTTCAGTCCCTGTCAGTGACAAATTTTGAGGCAGACTAGCTGGGGTTCTAATAAAGCATCAGGACCGACGGAATGTATGAGGCTAAATGTGTGAAAAATCAGTCAACGTAGTGAGTAACCAGTTTCATGTGTTTATTCCTTTGTTCGACGCAGACTGACTGGTGCCAGCAAGCACGAAACCTGGGTTGAAGGCGGCTTCCTAATGATTACCTTTAACCATCTTATAATAGTCAACGATAATATTCGACGAATGCAGCAGTATTTCAACTATTGGCATGGCCTAGCAGCTGAAGGATAATTCGTTTGTCTAGTTAAAAGACAGTCTCAACCACGATCCCGCCTGACTGTTATGAATGTACACAGATCAACGCTTGTAAATCATAATATTAATACCAATCAGTACTACCTGGTCCTAATATGTTAAACTATATAATACTCATTCCTGATATAGTTAAAGCTACCGTGTCTCAAAAACCCGTGGTTAGCGTTGTCTTAATGTTTGTTTGCTACATACTCATATATGGTGTAGTTAGTATAGGAATAGGTGAGAAGACGTGCTAAGCTAGAAATAAATGTTATCACTTATTAATGATTCCTTTAGAACTCAACTATTTGGTTGATTCACAAACATAATTTTTTTTACACAGTTCTCTTTGTATTCTTAATTCATAGGTCAGACATGTGAACATAGAAACCCGTGTCGCATAAGTCCTTGTCTAAACGGTGGTTTGTGTCAATCTGATCCATTTGGTCAGTTTTCTTGTAAATGTCCACGGTGGTATACAGGATTACGTTGTGAAAAGGTGAGTGAAACATTTTTTGCCAAACAGTTAAACGCATTTATCTCTTTACTTTGTATTCGTGAAGTGTTGTTGCATTTGTTTAGGGATCATAGTTTGTCAGACTGATGCTGCTATGGGTAGTTAAGTTGTGAGTACTGATAGGAATGAAAACAGTGGCGTCCCAGCATGCCTTAGCTGTTGTGTAAATGACAGATTTGAACATGACAGCATAATATTCAGAAAACTACAAGACGTCTGTTTTCTGTACTGACCACTTAAATCTCTTTTTGTGGTTTTTCAGTATTTAAAACAACCTAGAATTAGATATGGCTACACTGCCGGTCGTATTTTGAAACAATTTTATGGAGTGGTTGTCACACTTTGACGGAGTTCATTGACTGGGATTTCCACAATGAGAATAAAACTATAACTTTAGTGAAATAATCACTAAAGTGCGTCGGTGGCACAGACGTAGAATGCTCGCCGACCACGCCTCATGTTGTCCGGAGCTGGATCCCCAACCGACGCACTCCTTTACCTCGCTAAGTCAGCAATAAGACTGATAAAGAAGGAAGGTTGAATTAGCACGGGGCTAGCAGCCCCATCCTGTAAAAATAAACAACAATGATACTGAAACTTTAGGCCTCTAGCTTGAAGCCCTATATTCCACTGGTAAAGTAAAGGAATATAAAAAACCTTTCAACTCCACAAATACAGCTAACTAGTTGTATTTAATGAATATTTAAGTAGATTTTCTGTTAGCATTCATCATGAGTAATTCAGAGATTAAAAGCAAAATCTAATATATTTGTTTATGTTATCAAGCCTACCTGGGAAACTTAGGGAACCTACGGAAGACCTACATCTAATAAAAAATTTACCAAAATAATCAACATAAAATTTCTTGCCTTAGTTTTCAAATAGTTAACAACCGACAGTATCAAGTTACACAAAGTTTATTTTCATGCTGATTTGAATATTACTGCCCAAAGTACAATAAATTATAGATTTCAGTATTATGCTCTCAACTTAGAATTCAAAAGCAAAATAAAATACCAAGTTGAGTAATTTCTTGGCGGATGTAGATATTTTAGTATCCTAAACATCTGTAAGAATCGTGATGTAGTTGGTTGCAGTCTTTTCTTTAATTTTAATTGTGATGTCTAAATTTAGTATATGGAGCTAGCTTCTGTCACTTAACAAGATCGGTTGGACAACCGGTAAAACAAAGAAGCATTAAACAGCTTCCTGGTCCTAGTTTCAAAGTATTTAATGATGCACACGTATGATCTGACCACGGATGGACCCAGAACTTTCAGGTCGGGTGAGAATCCGTATGCTCGATCCCACCTTGGTTTGTAGGTGTGTATCGTGGAGAGACCTTTCTAACTGCTAACAGGGAACGGTTCAGTACCCCTTAGTTTTCAGTGATCCAATCTAAATGATTGCGGTTTATGGAGAAATCTAACTCGAAGTCAAGCAAGTCTGTTTAACTCACACTTGAAGGTTTGTACACCAATCAAAACTTCATAACCTATTCTTTAAAGATAAAGGAAGGTGTTATTAGCCTGCGTAGTAATGTATGCTATAGAGATTTATTTCTAGTGAAACCCGTTTCCCCTGATAGTTTGTATATTTTCATAGAATTCATTATGAAAGCCACTTTAAATCTATTACAATAGTAAATGTGGAATCACAGTTTTTTAATTCCTTCAAGTTCCCGGTTGAAAATAGGGCTCCAAGCTAAAAGCCTGAAGTTTCGGTAGCAGTGGTATTTATTTTTACGGGATGAGGTTGCTAACCTCATGCCCAACCTTTCCTCTTTACAAGTCTTTTATTACTGGCCTAGCGAGGTAAAGGAGTGTGGACCTCAATAATTACACCACACAAAGTTTTAACACATATGCAAACAACATATTTGAAGATGGAAACATAATTGCACTTACAGAATCACAGGTACAATTGCTTAATTGTGAAGTCAGTCCAGAAATAGGGATACATTAGTTGATGACACTCGTGTTCTTATTATAAAGATAGAATTGACAAGACGGACACTCATAAACACTTAATTATATGTACAGTGTCATTAAACCTGATGAGGTAGGTAGATGATATAATTGCTGACATTTCTATTCACTTTCTTACAAAATGATAAACAAATTTAAGAAAACAAAATAATACAAGTGTGGTGCTGAGTAATACACAGTGACCCTACACTTAGTGCTCATTATAAGGGAGACATGACGGACGATTTTGAGTGTATTTGCGCATACATTATTTGAGTAACAACCAATTAAATACTTATTTTAAATAAGTATAGACCCACTTATTTTTCGAGTAGATTTTGATTACAGGTCAAAATGAGTTGAGGAAGTTATTCGCTGCCTAGTAAGTTTTCGTGATTTCTCCAGGATGCTTAGCTTATGAGGTGAAAATATTATCACTTGTAGGAAGTGCTTTAAAGACAGTGAAAAGCCCATTTAAAGTTTCTCGATATTAGAGTTCACTGCACTGATAGTGATTCAAACTTATTCAATTCTCAACAGTTTGAATAATTGTCTTGTGTAAGTTATTACAAGGGGTCGATTAGAAAGGGTTGATTAGTAGCTTTAATCACTGGAAATATTTTCAGCATAAATAAGCTTAGATTTATTCTGCCTTTAAGAGGGGATACACTATCACTAGCTAACTTGGAGTACGAAAAATCTTGATAGAAACAAGTGGAGAATTCAGTGTTCTTAGAGCTGCAGACTAAACTTATGTGTGACAGACTAATGCCTTATGAAAAGCATATTGGTGTCACTGTCTTCTGAAGTTGTGAATGACGCATAATGCAGCTTTGCAATACATTAAATGGTCATAAAGCTAAAGATGTAAAGTGTAAATGCTATAAATATGGCCATTCCTTAAATATCTATGTGGGCTTCAAATTTCACTTCTTTGAGTTGACCACTAGTACTTCTGGTGATAATACTACAGTGACAGTAATGATTTTGTACAGAGTAGAATGCTCACCTGTGCATCGGCATAATGCTCATCAATCGTGATTATTGTCTAGGGTTCTATTCCCGGCCGACATACACCTATACTTTACTCAGCCATTGGCAAGTCCAGAAGTGATGGAAGGTTATGCGTTAGTATAGCAACTCCAACCTGTTAAAAACGACACAACCACTACTGAAAATCCGTGGCCTGAAGCCTGAAGCCCTACCTTTCACTTAAAATGCAAGGTAAGAATATAATAAGGTCCAGTACTTTCATACTGTAACAGATTTGCTTCCTTTATAAGTAAAGTCAAAACAATAATGTCTAAACTTAAAATCTGTCCTAACTAATTAATACTCGACTCACATACTTGTACTTCACTGCTTACTGCCATCTACTATGATATTTCCTCCCGAATTACATGGAACACAAAAAGACTTGGACTGGTATATTTTTAGAAATGTGAGATTTAAAACAGTACCAAGTGAATAGGTTTTCGATCGATTAAAACAACTGTGAAGGGAGTCTTTAAGAAGCAGTGTGTCAAGGAACTTAACCCTAAGTTCCTATTATTTGTGAAGACTCTCCGAACCGATAATTACTAGGTACGATTATCGACCTAGACTCCAAAACACAAGGACCAATATTTACTTGTATTGTTTGGTAGTTAAAGTCTTTATCGTACAAAAGTCTATAAACAAATATTTTACAAGCTGTGTATTGTACTTTTATTCGTATTCTTTCGTCTTCTTCCAACTTGTACATCACTGAACCATTAGCACCTTCCCTTTGCCTGCCGATGGCGACCAAGGTCAATGAACCAACATTCAACGTTCTCCTTCATTTACAAGTATGTGTTTAATGCAAGAGAGTATTTCGTCAGCCTAAGTTTCTAGCAGGGCCTTAAGTTGTATGTACTAGGCCTCAGTCAAGCTAAATTTCTTTTATCTCCATCGCTAATAAAATTATTTTTCTGCTCCTGCATATTTAATTTTCCAGGAAATCAATCCATGTTACCCACATTCTCCATGTTTGGGCAAAAATTCAGTCTGTTATTTAATAACATCCAAGAATAGAATAATTTCTGGTCCACCATTTTTAATTCGTAAATCAGAATATATTACAGATTTTAAATGTGACTGTGGCTCTGGTTTTACTGGTCGTTACTGCGATATGAAACAGAATTTATGTCAGATGAACAGTTGTCAGAATGGTGCAACTTGTTTACAGAATGGAGAAAACTACAGTTGTCTTTGTCCCGTAGGTGAGAATATATGTATGCACATATTTATTTATGTTCAAGATTAGGTTTTTAAAATTCATTATTATTGAGACTGTTGTACTAACTAGGTGCAGTGCTCTGACATGTTGTCAGGTTCCCAATCACTTACTAGCCCACATGTTTACAGCATACAGTCGAGCGAAAGAGGGAATGGAATAGTATTCTAACTTTCATGTTTTTGAATAAAGCTCAATTTAAATTCATCGCAAAATTACTGAGAAATATTACTGTCCAGCTGTCCAGTACTCCTTGAAGGTTTTTCAGTGGTTCTCTAACTGATGTCAGCTCATGATGAAATCCTCCAGCCAATTAAACCTAAAGAGTCCTTACAGAACCATAACTTAATAATATTAGTGACTTACGCTAAATTGATACAGGACACACTGCAAGCAGTCGAGGGGAACCTGATTTAGATTCGAAAAATTGAACGTCTTTGGCTGATCAGTGGGAGATGACGTGAAGGATAAGTGAAAGATTGTGGGCAGTCATGTAGCGAAGTCAACTGAAAGTGATGTTGGAGAGCTGAGTGTAATGGAGGTGCATAGCAAAATCCTTGTTTTTCACTCGGAAGGTATGAAATGAATGACAGTAATAATGAATTATTCAATATTTACAAAATATAATGTAGTGGTTGCATTGATACAATGTGGTAAAGAAAATTTTAGCGATCCAATGTTTTAACCATGTTTCCGCCGGGAAGATAGATATTTTCTTTATAAATTATTTAAATTAATCCCAGCTTGTTTAAGAAAATTAAAACAGGATTCTTTTGAACGTTTTGATGTGTAAGCCACAGCTTCTTCAGCAGATTTATTCGGATTTTTATTAATCATTAATAATTTATAATGAATCAGTCTGACTTGGCGCTCAAATTATTCCAGGAAGTTCGTAACACCTACTGTCTGGAAAATTATAGTAGATATTTTCTTTTAAGTCCTGTTATTTCTATTAGAATGGACGACTAACACTTTAGTGTGCACGTTTAAGCGTCCAAGAGAATATGATAAATGTTATACTTATATAAAATAAAGCTGGAAAAACTGTTAACTTTCAAATAAAACGTCAATTATTATGATTAAAATGGTTAGAAAGTTCTAGTTTTTGTCAGTCAATTTGAAGTGAAAATGCGCACAAAGGTAAGAAGTAGTCTGGCGATTCAGTAAAGCTCAGAGAGAAAAGTAATTGACGGTGACTATTTTGGTAGAACAAGCCGTAGAAAATGTTACTGGTTCCAGCGGTTAAATAATGATTTATCCATCAACATTCTTGACAGCTACCAGCTAACCTGTAAACAGATTTTAGGTGTGTAAATCATTGATTCTGACGATATGCCTATCTAATACTTAATTCATTACTAGTGGAGAGATGCTTTCAAACAGATCTGGACTGAACGGTTTTGAACGTGGTTGAGACTTTTAACGTGTTACTCAGTGGTTACCAGTTGTATTTTTATACTTGCAGCCTAAATAATTTTGATCTAAAACGGCTGTGATCACCGGAAACTATTAACAAGTTTTGCTGAGATGATATTGAACTAAAATCAAGTGACCCGATTTCTTTTGCTCAAGTTCAACTAATTTCAAGTGAGATTATGAACTAACAGCGATTGGAGAACCACATGGAAACCCGCGAATACTGAACAGTTGTTTCGTGCTAGTTTTGATCCCTCAGTGGTACTCATCTATGATCCTACAAGAGATTAAACTTAGAACTTCAGATTAGAAGGTTAGCATGCTAACCATTCAGCCTATATATCGGAATCAGATGTCCTGCCCGTGAATTCTAAATTCTCCCATATCGCGTGGCGCATCAAGTCCATTTTGAGAATAATTACTTATCAGTGATACTGTTTAGTGGTGGAGCTCTGTATCAAAGTACTGACGGAGGTTAGTATTCAAATGCAACTACATTCCGTCCCACTGATAATTGGTTGGTGGGCTTGTCTTGTAACCTGAAGGTCCTTGGTTTGATCCTTGATTAGGTCATGGCCACTTCTGAAAAGTCCTGAACAAGGATGAAACTGCTTCCCGGCAATTTCTGGGTTTTAGTAATTATCTAACTGATATGAATTCGTGGTGAAACTTTAAATCAATTCAATTCCTGCCAACAGACATTAAAAAATCAGCTACTTCAATACCCTATAACCTTCAGAAAACTGATATTCATGTAAAATTGCATTCCAATCTGTCATATATACGTCAACTGAACGGGTTCTCTTGATGTTAACTGCTGATTTATCAAAAGATAAATACAACTGTGTATCGTTATATTACAGTCATCAAAAAGTAGTATTTCTTCGATCTGTAATTTTGTGCTCTTCTTTTTCGATATAAAACAGGATTCACTGGAACCCTCTGTAATATACCTGTGAATAATGCCAAACATCCAACTTCAAACTCCTCAAGTATTCTAATTCAGAATAAAACATCCAAGTTGAATTCAATGAACACTGACACAAAACAGAAGTTTAATTTATTCAACGATTACTGTTCTCATATTGGATGTGACAATGCAAGACCTGGTGATGGTATCTGTCAAGCAAATTGTATTTATGCGAATTGTTTAAATGCTGAACTTGAATTAAAACACGACTGTCAGTATTGGATTAAATGTTTACAGTTAACTGTACAACCTATGAGACAGTATAATCAAACAACTTGTGTAGAACAATTTAAAAATGGTAAATGTCAACCAGAATGTAATCGGAATGAATGTTACCTAGATGGCTTCGATTGTATGCAGTCTGCGTAAGTGAATGTTTTATACTAGTCAGGTTATGGCAAACATAACCAGAAACTGTTTAAAATGAACTATTCAGTTTTAAAAACATAGTATGTGAATGCATCTTTAGTTTTATTGAAACGTCTATTAGCCGCACATTGTCAGCTAATGAAAATGTGGAGCATATTTTTTTTGACAGTCTTAGTTCCCACCAAAAATTGTCTATTGATTACAGTTGTTCTTAAAGTTCTGTCAAAAAGGAGTTTATCACTTTGTCTAAGTTAATTAATTTGTATTCGTTGAAATACTCGGTCTCTGGTTATACATTGGCTCCTAGAACAGAAGCTCTGACTATGTGCCTGGTCAGGTGACCTGATTTGCAATGCAGTGGTGTTCCAAACGATGGGTGTTGGGTTTGAATCTCATTGGGAACACTGTCACTCACTGGAGAGGCGGGTACATCCAGATGATGAGACTCAAGTGTGAAGAAATCAACATCCTGGATTCCACTGCCAGACACCATCAATCAAGGAAAACGACGAAGAGTTTAAAACAATTAGTTCCTTTTGTGAATTAATAATATGAATCAATAGGAAGACGTAATTTGTCTGAATTGTGTAATGTATTTGCGCAACACATTTCGAACAATCTGATCACACACGGACTTGTCATAGGAATATATATAAAATTAATAAAGAGGTAAGAGGTGAGAAAATAGACTTAGGTCAAGTTAAAAGGACATATTCAAGGTCAAAATAAAAATGAAGACCACCAAACCAAATAACAGAGGTAATAGTACATCTGCTATGGTATGAAAACAAAAAATTTACCAAGGAAGGTTTAATGTGATGACAAATTGTTTTTGAACGCATAAAGGTGGCTTGAAATTTCTAATTGCTAGGGCTTCTACAAACTTTAGTATACGCCCCAAACACGCTTTATAGATAGGCTTAAAAGATGTGTTAACGTCAATTTTATATCCTCTCTCTATGATGTTTCGCAATAGAGGAGCTAGGTCTCCTATTCTCAACATCAATGTATTCTAAATATTCTATTTGTTTCTGGAGCCATTTAGGAATATGCTCTGAAGCTAGCCCTTACTTGCAGAGATCGATGAGTCCTCCCTATGTATGTGTGTCCACACGTACATTCGAATAGGTAAATACAGTAGGATGTGACATCATTTTTCGCATGTTCGAAGTGCTTAGATAGATATACTGACTTCACATTCTCAATTATTATTATATTAGGTGCAAAGAAGTCTTTTTAACAGCAGCGTTCAGTCTTTGTCTAATTATCAAGCTGATATGATGACCCGTTTAGGGTAGCTTGATGTACACGTCCTTCTTAGCGGCTAGTCGTAAAGTGGGTCTTGGTGTTCTGACTAATTTATATCTTCTGATGAACTTGTCTGGATAGTTGTTATCAACCAGAGTTTGTGCCAACATTCTTTCTTCTTCATCAAGTGTGTCTTCAGTTCATATTTGTTGAATTCTACTGAAGAGGCACCTTACTAAGGCTCTTTTGTACCGAACAGGGCAGAAACTGTGATAATTAAGATACTGTCCTGTCCAGGTAGGTTTTTCTATAAATAGATCTTTTTATTAACCCATCAAGCCGTTGACTAAGCAATATGTCTAGGAAAGATAAGCAAATATCTTATTCTTCCACAGATGTAACTGATATGCTACTTTGAACTTCATTCATTCGATTTAAAATTAAGGTGGCAGAACAAGGCTTATCACTGATGACTACGATATCATCTACATACCTTCTATAAAGTGGCACATTTTCGATTAAATCTTCCGATAAATTCTCGATGTACGACATATAGATATCTGCTAAAAGGGGCCCTAACGGACTGCCCATAGCAACACCATCAACTTGGCGGAAACAATCGCCTTCAAATGTAAACCTAACATTGTTAGTACATAGAAGTAATAAATCCTTTAAGTAAGATATAGGGAACGGGATGAAAAAATTGTTTGTGGCAATGTAATCACACAAAATGTTAGCTGTTTTGAGTAAACGGAGATTAGTGAATAACAAGTTTACATCAAAAGTGTACACATTCTTATTCATAATATTAATATCATCAAGAAAATTAACCAGTTCAATTGGTTGGTATTTAGACAAAAATTACAAATCACTTACTTATCATTGTGTATCGAATTTCATTACGAGTTTATTCATAAACTATTCATACTAAAAGCTAAAAACCTGCATTTCCTACTCGTTATATCAAGACATAAAGTCAACCGATTGAATGTTTCGACCCCAAGCACGTGCTTACTGGCAAACAATAGGGCGATGTAGCTTCAGTCTTAATTTGTATTCATTTTTCTCTTAGGCATTCGAAACTGTATCGCCTAATGTAGTCTCCAGAGACCTAAACATCAGTCTACTTGTCCTAGAATGGAAAAACAATTTCAGCGAATTGCATTGCTAACTTCTCACTTTCACCTTAACAAGTTTTGAAATTTGACGCTGATCTATTCTGTCCCAAGAGTCTCATACTAAAGTGTGTCAATTTTTCAAGATTCCTTGTCTTGTACAATTAACGCATAACAGACAACATGACAAATGAGTGGGGCTGCTGGATGCTGGACTAACAGTCTAGCATTCCAAAGTCAGAAGCATAATTTATTATCCTATACAACTATTTAATCATTGGTAGCCACATTGCACTGACTAATTTCCTTTGAACGGTTTCAGACTAATAATGACTAATCGTTTTCTGAACTAGTTAATTTCAACAGCAGCTTAGTAACCGAACAGGCAACATGTTAAAAGTTTCTCAACACATTTCATTATTTTTATGCTATTCTAAAATAACTCCAGTCTACACTTGTGTTTGTGCTATTTATTTTTTTTTGTTCAACGGAACACACACGAATTTTATCTGTTGTCTTGTTATGCTGATGTAAATTCAACCTATTATGTAACACATGCATACAATTATGGTTATTTTCTGTGCTATGTATATCACTGTAGTTCATTTATGTAACTTGAAGGGTGTGATAATCAAAACAATTTGCAACTAATATAGGGAGGAGTGAAGTGAATCAGTTGCCTAAGTGTGATTTTTTTTTACCGTTTGCACAGAGTTACATTTGTGTTCGTTGACTTATACAAGTTTTATGCGAAAATAATTTTTAAGACAAAGTTTTGTTATTTAAAAAAAAATTAGTTTAGTTATTAGACAGATTATAAAGTCAATCTCGTCGACTTAGAAAGGAAAGTGCGTTGAAAACCATGGAGAAATTACTTTCACTTAGTCTTGTACCTTGGCTTAAATCCTTTAATGACCCTAAACAATTCGCCTATAAGCACAGTAGAAGCACTTTAGATGCAGCTGCCGTCTTATATCATAGCATTGTTTCCAGTCTAGACAAGGGGGCTAAATTTGTTCGTGTTGCCTTCCTAGACTATACATCTGCTTTCGTCTCGGTCCCTAGGGTCATCTTATTAAATAAACTTGCTGCTAGTCAAACAGAATGTTGGGCTGTTAACTGGTTACATTCCTATTTCTCAGAAAGAAAGCAGTACACCGTGTATAAAGGGAAGTCTTCCACTTCATTGCCTACTGAAGCTGGTGCCCCTCAAGGTGCTGTCCTTCCTCCTTTTCTTTTTTCTTTCTTCTTGCATGACTTGCCTCACTCTGATGAAATAAACTTTGTGAAGTACGCTGATGATTTAACGGTTTCAATGGCTGTTAACTCCCAGCTAGATTGTACTAAAATAAATAGCTTTCTATCGGAAGTCAGCAAATGGTCTGAGTCTAACGGTCTTAAACTGAATCCTTCTAAGTGTCAAACTGTTGATTTCAGCTTAAGATGTAAACGACAGTTAAAAGAAGTCATCGATTCTCATGACAGTTGTAAAATTGACGACAATGATATAGGAATCAAATCAGAAATTAAGTATCTTGGACTCATTCTCTCTTCTGATCTCTCCTGGTCTTCCCATGTCTTAGCAATCTCCAGTAAAATATTCCGCCTGACATTTTACATTAAGAAGTTAAGACACTCGGGTATAACTCAACCCCTCCTCTTACAGTTCATAAACTCTTGCATCCTACCTATTCTTCTTTATTGTTCACCCTTATTCTTTCCTGGTTTGCTTAAAAAGGACTATGTCACAATTCGTAGAATACTGAAGACTGTCAGTAGGGTGAGTGGTGTCCCAGTGGACCACATAGTTAACGTCGTTGTCGATAGGCACTTGACTTCGTGCAATAAATTTGCTAAAGGGATTTTGTCTGACTTGGAGCATCCGCTTTACCCTCAGCTTTCACCTTGCATCTCCTCAGGTAGAACAAGGAGTAACTTCAGAAAACTGTATGCTCGCACGTCTAAGTATAAGAATTCTATGATACCATACTTGGCACGTATTTTATGTGATGAAAATAGTGTCAGGCAAGAATTAACTAACCTTTTTTCATCTAGTAAATAAACAATTTCCTCCATCCATCCTTATATACCTTCAAGTTTTACTTTTATTACTTCTATTATATTTATGGTCCTGTTACTTCTCTGTTTTACTCTCATAATTGCAAACACCAACTTATCTCCATGACGGCTGTAATCTTTGTTTTTCCCTTCACCATATCATGTAAAGAGAACATTATATTCAATATTTTTAAACATGTTAGGATTTCTATACCACATTGCCAATACTGTGTGACACAAGCCAACGGCAATTTTCACTTGTATTCTTATTATTATTACCCTAGCTGTTATCATTATTATTGCTATTTCCATTTTATATGCTGCATGTTTTTGACACTACCTCTATTGTAAATGTGGAAAATTTTCTGTGTGATTAATTTTATTTATAATTTGAGGAAATTAGATGCAATATTGTGATTAATGCTGAAAATTCCATTCTGTATCACAAGTACTGTTTGTGGAATAAAGTAAATCATTATTATTATTAAATATCACACAATACTGATTGAGACAATGAATAGTTCAGTAATTCTAATTCTCTTTTTGTCTTTCGCACTCTGAAAAGAAAATCTCTTACTTCTTAGATTTTATCCATAAATTTAATTTACATCTATTGAAACTACGATAGAGCTACGATGAAGTTTCTTTGGAGAATATGCTGAATTTAATTTTGTATATTATTGAATTGACGGTGACTGGCAGCTGAATCCAAGTAGGCGACGCCACTGAACTTCTTTTTGTTCAACTCATCATCATTGCAGATTACAAATAGAAGATTATGAAGGATCATACAGGCCTTATTGTAGTCACTAGCACACTACCAGCCAATTCAAGCATTTCAGCTAATAGATAGTCAAGGGAAGCTGGCAAGTAGACCAGCAAAGAAGAACCGGCGTGTTAGATATACTCTCCTTCACCGAAGAGATGATGGATACGATCAACTGAAAGCTGTAGACCAGCAAAATAAGATCAGGTTTTTAACCTTAGTGTAAGGTTTTCCATCTTTTACCACTACGCCCCATGATTTACATCAGGGCAGAGGATTGTGTATCTGTCTGGTTTCTTAACACTATCAGTAACTAGCACACTTTTACGGACAACCTTAGTGATCAGCTTCTTTCTTGGGGGTCTTGCCATCTGTAAGTAGATTTGCGAGTAGTCTGGTTTGTTTTAGCCATAGGAAAACACCGAAAAACGATTATACCAGCCAGCACCAGCGAAATAAGGTCATGTTAGCTTTTAAGTGTCATGACAGCGTCTCAGTTAGAAAGTGAAATCGCAACAGAGACTGAGTGTTTTGGTCAATTTAAAACAGTCAGCAGAAAATAAAGGATAACTCATATTAGCTGTGGCTAACTATGTATATATGTAAATACATGTAATAGCTCGGGTAAAAGGTAGTTATCTATGAGAATTCATTGATACAGCACCTTTCCAACCAACCCATCTGTTATAAATCAAAAGACCATAAAGTTTATCATCGTTAATGTTTTAGTAAAAAAAAACGGGCATACGGTTCTACATTACAATTTGTCTACTTTATTGTACAAATTTTCATTTTATGTCTAACGTGTATCATGCAGATATCGTTTGCAGTATACAGGATCCCATTTTAATGAAAGCAATTTTATGTATAATGGAAGTTTTGGGACTTAACATTTTTAAAAGAGTCTTACAGAGTCATCAGAATAGTGTGACTACATTTCTCAAATGCTCTGTCACTTATTTTGCATACAATTTACGTAGCTGGATTAGAATAATTTAGTCGTATCATTGGGCAACACAATTAGTTGCCAGATTCGTCTATTGGTGTTCTACTTTCGCGCTTAGAAGCATTGATGATAACCGCTTATTTATTAATAAAAGATTAGATGTTAAACATTCAATATGGATACAAACTGGGGAACTATATGAAAAGTCAGGTGAAAGCCTTGACACTCACAAAAATAGTTTGAGTAATTTTGTATGCTTTATATGAATAAAGAAATTTATAGAATGGCGAACTTAAAGATGCATAGACTTATATTGACTTACTATGGAGACATCGTGAATATTCAGTCTTCGTTGTTCAGCAGACTGATATTTAGCTTCAGCATAGAAAGCTATTGCGAGTGGTTTCGATTATGGGTCGAAGCACTCCCAAACCTCACTAAGCCAGTATTAAACCTTGTTAAAGAAGGAAGGTTGGGCGTCTGAATTTCAACCCTACCTGTGAAACTAAAGGCGCTGCCACTGAAACTTCAGAGCTCAGGAATGAACCTCTGTGTTCCACTTGGAACTCAGAGGAATAAAATAACCAATAATAATAGTGAAACAACAGAAGACAAGGGCCAGAGAACAGATTGTTTATTGAGAAAATCAACATACATTTATAGATTTCTATGTACGTTACTAGTTGTTATTGTTAACAGGGAAGCAGCGTCTTCTGACTGGTTGCTTTCTTGCTGAAGGTTATTCTGCCATCTTTTTGTGGTTGTTTCTTAGACAGCCCGGTGATATATCTGCTAATCGGATCTGTCTGCTGTGACTGGTCGTTGAGTTCCTCAAGGTTAGGCTTTGTTCTTGTTTTTTCTCATGATCAGGATTTGGGTGGTAAACACTGGCGTAAGTTACTGTCTACCAGTATTTCGGCGGATCAGATAGACTCATTTTACAAGAGGAATCCAAGACTATATTTCTTTTACATAAAGATTTCTTTCACTGAAAAAAACAATCAATTTTTCGACACATCCTTTTCTTTTCTTATTTATGTATTTATTTGCTAGATGGTTCACACCAACAGACTAAGTAACCTGTTACATAAGTTACATAAATAGTTCTAACTTATTGTTATTTCTGTCATTGCTTCATTCACTCGTTTTTAGGTCATATTGTGAACTTTCTGACTCATGTCTAAAAACATATGGTGACGGTGTTTGCCAGAAACCTTGTAATACATTTCAATGTGGAAATGATGGAGGTGATTGTGACAATGGGGCGAAAGAAGAAGAAAGTCACAATTATGTAAGAAAATATGTTTTGTTCTACTTGAACACAAATCAATCACAATTTATGGAAAATCGTAATCAATTCTTAGGCAATTTAGGACAAATTCTTCAAGCACTTGTAAGACTTGCTAAAGACGAATCTACTGGTGAAGATTTAGTTGAAGATATTCCAAGTAAATACCAATTTAAGGTAAGTGATCACCAGTTTAGGTATTAATTGTTATAATTTAGACCTAAAAATGGTCTTTAAGAGGCTAAGAATATTTGAGCAACTAGAATCTGTAATTCATTCATTTTGGGGCTGTATACTTAATGAAGTGAATTTACTTGCAGAACATTCAAGTTATTTTGTGTATGGTGGAAAGCAGTGAAATCAAGGGTGTTCATTTCTTCCTACTCGGGACTCATCAACTAGATACGCTAGCAATGTTCAGTGAGTGGTGGCGTTTCCTGAGACACAAACTCTCTTCGAATACCAAAGTGTTACTCACTAGACCATATAGGCCACGAGAACCACCTCTTGTGGGACGGCGACCGGAAGTGCATCCATTTGATGAATTCTGAATGGGTTGAAATGAGCATCCTGATTCCACCATTAATCCCCATACTCAATTTTCATCGAAACATCCCTATAGGAAGCCGATATATTAAGATAAGACCATCATTTCAGTTCAACCAATCGACAGAACAAACAAAAATTGACTTTAGCAAAATTGCTCACTGAATCGCTGAAACGCTAATGTAAAGGCTCTTGGTTTGAGTAATTGGTTTTATAGTATTCGATACTTTAGACGGTTTTTGTAGAAGGTTTTCACAGTCAAAGCCTCTGAAATAGCAGAAAAATTTCAAGAAGGAAATTAAGATTTTTACACATGCAGCCTGAATACCATTCAGTCAAGTCATTTAATGAGAATTATAACTATAAGCGAAAATAACACTTCATATCTGTTTAATAGTATGCAGTTACAGGCAGAAATAACAAATAGTCTCATTTGGTAGCCGAAAAGATACCGCTTTGCATCTAGTAGTGAGTACTCTTTGGAGGAAATCTGAAAAACTTATATCTTGTGAATCTCATTTTCACTTTCCCGTTTTTATTGCAGCCAAGATAAAGGCGATGTTTTTGTACTGGCGAAGAGGGAAAAACGTATTTGTAATCTCACTCTGTCTTTAGGAAAGATTAGGTAATTTCAGTGATAACATCACAGCTTCATCATATAACATTTGTTGGAACCTTCGGCTCAACTTTGCTATATATTATGGTCAAAAATAGGCGTTTCTAACAAAAGGTTATTGGAAAGACAGCCTAAAATTACATTTCATTCTGGAGTGCAGTGATTCGACAAGAATTATATCGTGATATTATATGACTGGTAGGTCACATCAGTAGAGAACTGTTTTGTGTTCAGTAAGGCCAGCTATTAAAACCTCGGTAAATGCATATTTCTGTTTCAGTGTTAGCCATATTTCTTCTTCGCATTTTATTTGTAAAGACTTCGCACTGTGATGTCTAAGTAAACAGTCTCACTATATTTCGAGGCAGAGTGTTTGGTAGATTATAGATGCTGTTTCTAAATTTGGCGTCTATATATTAACAGTTATGAACTTAGTTTCTGTCTTAAACTATTCGGATGAGCAGTATTTGATAGCAATTATGAAGGCGAAATACGTAGAGTTTTAAAATATGTCCACAGTCATCTTTCGATATCAAAAGAAATAAATGTAGTTGATATAAGTGGGAATAGGATCATTGTGCTGAAGAAACTTTTGGATTAAAACTGAAATCGGTAGACACAAAATGAAATTCCCGATAACTGTTTATTTCATTCCAGAAATTTACTCTGACCGCTTTATTATGTGGGATAGAAATCTTATTTATAAGTCGTAATTACTACTCACAATCCTGCTTAAGTCTGAATCCCACATTGCAAATGTTTTGTCTTTTCCAGTTACTTTTGGAAGTGGTCAGTCCATCATCACCATTAAATTTAGTGTGCAAAGAAACTGACACACACTTGTGTACAAATCCTATTGTTCTACTACTTAAAACAAACGAGTTGAAAGACTACATTTTAGCTGCGTTAACTACAGTCAAGTACAGATCACTTTTCAGCATCAAATACTTCACATTTGTTGATTCTCCGAGTCAGTCTCACTTTAAAGCTCCATGGGAAGAAGACATTCCATCTACAACAAGGATTTCAAAGGAAGCTATTGGTCTTTATGTTTGTATATGCATTCTAGCTGGAAGTAAGTGAAGTGTTTTGTTGATACAATTCTGACATTAGAGTGTCATTCAAAAATGCTTTTTCCTCGATGCGTACAGTATCTTTTGCCGATTTGTATTTGTTAAACAAATAGATTCATGTCGTTGTTAATTCATGGAACTCAGAAAGTAATTCTCTTTCTGACCACTAACAAGAAATGACTCAATAAAAGCCGCATTAATTGAACTCAGAGGTACGCTCTCAAAGTGAGCTAAAAGATAAAATGACCGAGTGATGAAATTTCCTAAAATGTCTGGAGCTCACTGATTTAGGCGCTTCAATGCCATTCAATGGATTGCGCTCTAAAAGCTGATGACCGAACAGCCGGATAATGTCTTTAGCCCTTAAACAAGAAGCAGAGTTCATCGCTAACTGAATAAATATGCTTTCTTTTCTTTTTCTTAGAGTCACAGTGATGATATATTGACACTTATCTCTTCAATATAAGCCACTGCTTTATAGAATGAACGAAAGTGTACGTCAATAGTGCCGTTTTCGCAATCTTATTCTGATTTATTGGTTACAGGATTTCATCATGAGCTGACATTGGTTAGAGAACCATTGGAAAACCTGGGAGCGCTGGACAGCTGTTTCGTCAGCCTAGTTTGGGATTCTCATCAATACGCACCCACTGGAGTTCGGAACCAGGACCTTCAGGTTATAACGCTAGCTAGCTCGTAGACCATTGAGCCATTGAAACCCGATCCAATGGCCCAAGAATTCTAACTTCTTCCAATTTACGACATAGCGTTACCGCTAGCCAGTGTCTACGGCGAGTATTTGTCCTCACACTCGACCTGCTGCACCCTACTGGTCATAACTTCTCACTAGAACCTAGTGGCTTAATGGTATACGAGCTCGCTAGTCTTGTAAACACAAAGTCCTGGTGGTGGGTGCGTAACGATGAAGATTTCTACGGGCTAGGACGAAACAGCTGTCCAGTACTCCGTCAAGGTTTTCCAATGGTCCTGTAACTGATGTCAGCCCATCGCGAAATCCTGTAACCAGTCAATCAAATCCCTACAAACCAATACTTGATTCTGATTTAGTTTCGTTCTTCGAGCTGACTGATTTAATTGCGAAGCTTTTTTGTGCCACTAGATAACACCTACAGCTCAAGCTTTAATATGAAGTTAACTTATTTGAATTTTTCATCAATGACAAAACTGTATCTCCTGACAACCTTTATGGTGATTGGTTGTTGACTTACATCTTTACTGATTGAAAACATTCAATTAGATGACAATGAAATCATGTTTTCCTTTGGGGTCACAAAATTATACACCTCAAATAGTCCTAAAGTAGAGAGAGGAACTGTGCAACAAGACACTGTGTGTGATAATTACACAAAAATATAATATTCAACTTGAATGGAACTCATAGAATTATGCTTTATATTTTCCTTTCAAAACAGAAAATGTGGAAATACAGGTGTCACAATGGAGTGTGACTGGTTTGTAGTAGCCATCTCCCCTGACTACAGTGCTGCTCCAGACACGACACTATAGCTGACTGGTCACCTGAAAATATTTCTCAACACTGGGATAGACATAGAAGTCAGATTTAACTTCGACAACAGCCTTTTTTATTCATAACACGAGGTATATCTCATTTTCATATCAACAGGAATTTAAACCATAAATAGATAATCAATATTTGCTGAATTGAATGACCTTGAGGATCCTTCAAAACAATCAGTCGGAAAGTATGCGGTTAGGTTATTTTGTCGGTACACGCATCAGTCATAATTTCACAGCTAACGAAGACAGTTTGTCCCTCTTAACACCTCCCCCCTTTTAATAGATTTTCAATTAAAGGATCACTAGAAGTTATTCTTGGGTTTGAGTACTCTCCGTTCATGATAACAATCATGCAGAAAATCAACACACAGAGGTAATGTAATTAACTGTAACAGCAATAATCCAATGACTGACATAAGAAACTGTGTGTAAACATCGTTAAAAAGATTTCAAACACACTGTAGCCCTCCAGTACAGAAGGGAATAAAAGAGAAATATTTACCAACTGTTTTCAAGAAAACTTAATACCCATACAGTTTCATCAAAAAATGTTTGAACTCAACAACACAGTCATTTCATTCACTATTGTGCAGACCAAAGGATCCATCAACGAAAGAAGACATGGTCATTAGCACTTACAAAATAAATTGTATAAAGTGCGATGAACAATATATTGGTCAAACAAGGGCGTCCTTGCTGACTCATAATCCAGGAGCATAAATTAGTCATGAAAAGACACCAAGTGTATTCTTTCATATCAATTCCTGCACACCATTATGGACACTATTTTTGATTGGGATAATGTGGGAATTTTAAATGGCGGAAACAATAAAACCTCTAGGAAATTTCTGTCAGCCTGGTACTCAGATAAATCAGCGATTAGCACACTCATTACTAAAATCAAATTTACCAAAAAAAGCTCAAACTCCAAGTCAATAAAAGTTATTTAATAAAGATATAAAGTGACAACCAATCAGGAGACACAATTCTATCATTCATGGGGAACTCAAATAACTTCACTTCATATTAAAGCTTGCTGTGAAGCTGTCTAGGAGGATAATGAAAGCTTAGTAGTTATCGAAACCAGCTCAGAGAACATAACTAAATCACCTAAGCTGGCAATCTTCCCAACCATGTCCAAACTGATGCTTCTGCTCACTTTCAAAACTTATCAACAGGACTGAATGTATCAAAATACATATTGTTTCTCATCTGGTGAAATTAATTATCTTTTTAATAATTAAAGCATCTCATTGGCCTCTAATTATTCTCTTGTAACTTTAACCTTATTACAGTTAAAGTGAATGAAGTAAAGGGAGTAAAGAAAATGACAAAAAGTGCAACTATGTTTCCAGAATACACTCACTCAGTTTCTTTTAAACAATGAACAAGTAGACATTAGCACTATCCTGGTGTGTTCTACTCTGACCTAAAATGCTTCACAGGTATTATTAATTTGGAAATATTTGCAATATCGCCTTGCATCTGTTGTATTTAACTACATGTTGATTATATCTACATCTGTGCTTACGAGTTGATCACTGATTGATATCAGTTAGAGAACCATTGAAACCACCAGGGAGTACTGGACAGCTGTTACATCCTAGTCTTTTTGGAAATTATCGGTAGTACTCACCGATTGCCAGGGTTTTAACCCAGGACCCTCCGGTTACAAGGCAAGCTCGTATATCATTCAGCCACTGAGACCCGATTCAATAGTCAGCCCATGAATTCTAACTTCTACCAATTCGTAATTAAGTGCGACCCCAACCAGTGTCGTCGGTGGGACATCCATCCTCACACGTGACATCTAGATGAACCTCACTGGTGACGAATTCCCACTAGAACTCCAGGAAACTCCATCCTGTAGCAAGTCACTAGCGAGTATCAGATTAATTTTCTATATTTAATATCTATATATGTTGATTTTCAATTATGCAAATAACTTATTACTTTAGAAGATACAATTTGAGTGACAAATTAAAACAGACTGTAAAGGGAAGTCAAAACATTTTCACATATGCTCGAATTATGCTCCAGTGTGCAAAATTTATGCATAATTCTATGTTACTTTTTGACTCTCTGTCGCTGCCTCCATCTCCCTCCAGGTAGTTGACCTCTAGTAAAGAGTATTCTCGACTGAACACTGTTCTCTTTTTTTTTTAAAGAAAAAACTAAATTATAATTAAGAGCAAAATATTTCTAAAGATCAGTGGAATAAATAGATCGTTAATGAATATCAAAAGTATTTTCAGACGCATTACATATATATTTATAGAATTTCATGAGAGAAACACACAAGCATACAGTCAAAAACGAGACATGAATTAATCAGATCAACGGAAACAGTCTCAGTTATTTTTTGTTATTGTTCTTATAAGATTCCTCAATGAATTTGTTTGAATTGAGTCAACAAAAAGATAAGTTTTGAATAATTAGTGTGTATTGTGTAGATGCTAAAACCTTTTTTTAGAATGTAGAATAGGCGGAGATGAAAATAGTCTCCGGAAAAGTGAGTGTACACATCATAGTAAGGTGAAAGTAGAAAATAACTAAACTTTTGAAGGAATATCGAAGTTTAACTCACTCTACTCAGATCATATTTTGTTGCCAAAAACCTTAGTTTTTAAAGGTTAAGTCTAACCTGGATTGGTAATGAACTTCTCGATATGAAGAGTGTAACAAACTAGAGATAATCTTATGCATATTATGATTAACTATCAGGATTAAAACATGTTGCTTACAACGGTAATACACTTTTATTAGGATCTATCGATTGTTAGTCTGTTGATGCTGTTTCACAGTGGAGTTTAGGAGGCATGTCCCCCTCCCCTTTTCGGACTCATCTGGTGGGTGCAAATGTGCCCTCAGTAAGTGATAATGTTTTCACTGATCCTTGAACTCACAGCCTATCGTTTCAAACACCCATCTGATGAGTTTGAAATAGGATGACAGGTACGTGCTGGATTCCATTACTAGTTATCACTAACCAAATAAAGATGTACTTAACCTTGGGGCATCGTCGGAGAATCTGTATTTGGAATAGGCGTGTCAGCGGAGAATGAAAATTTCGTTCCAGCCACCAACATCTATACATTTCATCCAACAGTTTTACGATAATGCTGCATACCAAGTAATTCAAAACGGGAAGCTTACGGAATTTTTCGAACTGAGGACAGGAGTAAGGTAAGGCTGCCTACTATTGCCAATAATTTTCTTGATTGCAGTAGATTGGATAATGCGACAGACAACGGACAATGAGGAAACAGGCATAAAATGGACCCACACAGAAAAAACTTGGAGGATCTGGACTTCGCCGATTATATATGTCCGATTTCTCACAAACTGAAAGATATGCAAGTGAAAAGCAACAAGTTAGCAGAAAAGCATCCAGAAAAGACAGGCCTTCAGGTGAACATAGAGAAAACAGAGGTGATGAAGATTCCTGGACAGCAGCAACAGC